ACCCAGAGCCAGATATCAAAGTAAATGTTGAAAGATCAGAGAGACAAAGGAACAAGCCACGACCACCTCTTACCCACCAACTCCTCATCCAAAAGCCTGAGCTCCAGTCTCCTCTCATCTTATACTCCTTTTCTCCACCCAGTCACATTACTTCCTGTCTCAACCTCCCTAGTGCTGAGATTAAAGACATGTGTGCCTCCCAAGTATTAGGAGCAAAGGCATGAGATCCTAAATGCTAGGATTAAAGGTGTGTGTTACCACTGCCTGGCCTCTATTTCTCTTTTAGACTGGATCAGTCTTATGTAGCCCAGGGTGGCCTTGAACTCACAGAAATCCATCTGCCTCTGCCTCCCAAGTGCTGGGATTAAAGGTGTGTGTCACCACTACCTGGCCTCTATGGCTAACTAGTGGCTTAGTGCCGCACTCTGATGTTTAGGCAGGCTGTATTTGTTAGATCACAAACAAAATATCACCAGAGTTCTGTCACATGGGAGCATCATAATGACACCCATCATTTTGAAACATGAACACATACATACTAATTTAAAATGTAAAGGGACACAAAATAGTATTAATGTCCACAGATTAGCAAACATTGAAATGGTTTTTGAGGCTTTATTTTTATTTTATGTGAATGGATATTTTTGCTTACATCTATGTCTATGCACCACATGCATGGTTGGCACCCCGGATATTTTTGCTTACATCTATGTCTATGCACCACATGCATGGTTGGCACCCCGGAGACCAGGGCACTGGATCCCCTGGGACTGGAATGTCAGATGGTTGTGAGCCACCATGTGGGGACTGGGAATTGAACCTGGGTCCTCTGGAAGAGCAGCCAGTGCTCTCAACTGCTGAGCCGTCATCTCTCCAGCTCCAGATCAACAAACAATCAATTCTATTCACTGTTAGCAAAGATTCAGGGGAGAACGCATTGTAAGCATTATTTGTATAAATTCCAAATAGTATAATGCTTATGTTCAGGCCACCTCTATGTCCAAATGAATCTGTAATGGTGATACTATGTTGAATCCCTGGAAGAAAAGGTAGTATATCTTAAAATTTCAGCTGTGCCTACATTTTGAACAGCCTTTAGTAAGGTAAAAATGAAAATAATGTCATTCAGCAGGGAAATAATTAAATTATTATATATTTTTCTATAGAATTGTAAAGCTATAAATATTGACACTGATGAAAATTTATGTAAAAAATTAAAGGAGATGCAGAACAATAAAAATGTTGACAAATGAGCCGGGCGGTGATGGTGCACACCTATAATCCCAGCACTTGGGAGGCAGAGGCAGGCGGATCTCTGTGAGTTCGAGGCCAGCCTGGGCTACAGAGTGAGTTCCAGGAAAGGCACAAAGCTACACAGAATAACAATACAAATAAATAAATAAATAAATGTTGACAAATGAATTGCAGACAATGGAAAGAGCTTCTGCCCAAAAAAGGAAACAATAACAACACACACACACACACATGCATGCATACATGAACACCCTTTACCCCCCACTAAATGGAGGTAGTATAGAGAATTTGTGGGGTATGGTAGTTTAAATGTAATTGGCCCCAATAATCTCATAGGGAGTGGCATTATTAGGAGGTGTGGCCTTGTTGGAGGAAGTGTGTCACTATGGGAATGGACTCTGAGGTCTTTTGCTCAAGCTTTGCTCAGTGTGACACCGACCATTCCTGTTGCCTGCCTAGCAAGATGGAAGAACTCTCAGCTCCAGCACCACGTCTGCCTGCACACTGCCTTGCTTCCCGCCATGATGATAATGGACTAAACCTCTGAGCTATAAGCAAGTTGTCCCAATTAAATGTTTTCCTTTATGAGAATTGCCGTGGTCATGGTGTCTCTTCATTAGAAACCCTAAGAGAGGGGTAAGATTTAAAATAGAGTTTTGCCAATTTAGAAACTAGACTTAAAACATTCCAACTATACTGAATAATGAAAAAATTATGAAAGTAGTAAAAGGTTAAGAATCTTAACACATTGTCTAAATTTTTTCCTCATTAATTTCTTGTCCTTTACGGTGTCTTCAATTTTGACAGCTTCCCAAACCTCTGCTGTGAATCTCTCATAAGTTAGCATCTCATCGTTTCCTTTCTTAGAAGCTTTTAAACTTTGGTGTAGCCTGTCTGTTTGTATTTAGTTCTGTCGCCTAGGGCTTCTAGTTTAGAGTGAAAAGGAATCAGGAGAGACTATCACATGTTCCCCCATTCTACAATTGTTAAAATAATTGCTTTAAATTAATGTAATAATTAAAAATAAGCCTCCTGATGTGCCAAATGGCACCTCTTACCAAATATTTCCTTTTTTTTCTTAATTTGTTTCTCATTTTAGTGTATTTTTTTCTTTCCTGAAAATTATAATCCTTTATGCTAGTTGGACAGATTTGTGTTTTGAATCAGATTTCTGTACGGAGTATGAGAATAGCTCAGGTGGGTTTCAACCCAAGGTCAGTTCTTCCCACACTGTCTCAGATTTATTGTGTAAATTTATTGGGATATAGCACGGCTGAAGACCCTGTGGTCATAGCCCATGTGTCTTCCCAGTTGAGCCAATATGGTTCCTTTTGACCAGAGTTGGGTCCGTTGTCTTGGGCTTCTCTTTGAGGCTACTGCATGTGCTGGAGAGAGGCTTCCTACACTCACCTTATTGGGCAAGAGAACAAGTACCCCTTATCGTCAGTATCTTTGTGATCAGGCTCTGATAGACTCTCTAAATTAAAAGAGGCAAGTTTGCTATAAGCAACTACAATTTGTTGTTGAAGGAGTGGGGCGGGGGGAGCTCAATTGCTAGCAAATAAACCAATGCTCTGAAAGCAAACAAAAATAAACAAAGCTCTGTCTGCATGCTCTGAAAATGAAATATCCAAGCAGTACAGAATAAACAAATGGACCACTGACAAAAAACAAGGAAGGTCCAGGCTTAGAGAGAACTCAACATCACCTGAAAAGAACTCAACATCACTTAAAGAGGTAGCTCAGATAGGTGCAGAAGACTTTTCCTTGGTATCTTGTGCCCATCCAGGTGACGCTTTGAGTGAAAGTGGATCCATAAACCTTTTTATTTTAAAAGAAATTAGGAAACAAAAGGCCAAGGAAGGAGTTGGGGGAATCAATCTGAACAAAACATTACATTCATGTATGAAATTCTCAAACAATAAATTTTAAAAAATGAAGTTGTGAAGAAAAATGGACACATCAATAGTTTGGTCAAAACTGGAGGTGTCTGATTCCCTCCCCACCCTGCCAGTGGCCATATTACAATTTATGGAAAGATATGATACAAAAGCTAGAACATATGAAGACTTAACTGTAAGATACACTAACTGGTCCCTTCCCGGAAGAAACAGACCAGAGCCTCAGGTTGTCCCTGTTCTGTTAGAGAATAGTTATTTAGTTTTATTTATTTTTTTTATCATTAAGGTTTCAGTGCGTAAAATAGGGTTTTAAAGAGTTCTCTATTAAAAAAAAAAAAAGAGCAAGATGATTCTGGAGAAGTGGCTCAGCATTTAAGAGCACTTCCCGGCTCTTCTAGTGGGCCCAGGTTCCCCTGCACAGTTCCTTCTCTATGAATCCATTTCTTTGATAGGTGCAGAATGGAAGTCTTTTTTTTTTTTTTTTTTTTTTTTTTTTTTTTTTTTTTTTTTTTTGGTTTTTCGAGACAGGGTTTCTCTGTGTAGCTTTGCGCCTTTCCTGGAACTCACTTGGTAGCCCAGGCTGGCCTCGAACTCACAGAGATCCGCCTGGCTCTGCCTCCCGAGTGCTGGGATTAAAGGCGTGCGCCACCACCGCCCGGCCAGAATGGAAGTCTTTTGTCATCCCTTCTTCAGAAGTTAGCTTCGGCTCTGACACCTACATGTCTATGAAACGTTAATCCTAGAAGTGTCTGATGTTCTCGGGTTTCCGCATAGATCACTGCTACAGATCTGGAAATGGTGGCAGCCCGAAGAAACGCTTCCAGAGTTGGGATGCAATGGGAGGGCTGAAGTTTTGACTCGATGAAAAGTTAGAACTTTTTTTTTTTTTTTTTTTGGTTTTTCGAGACAGGGTTTCTCTGTGTAGCTTTGCGCCGAAAAGTTAGAACTTTTGAGACTTCCAAAAACGAGGAAAGAAGATGACGGTCGAGCTTGTGAGCTAGGCGCTACGGGGAGGGTAGGTTTGCAGCCTGTGAGGTGACTCCCGGACAGACGAGGCTACTCACAAATATCTGGGAAGTGGTTGTAAATGTGGGTGACAGCGTTGAGAGACAGATTTCTAGGATAACTCACAGGTCTTGAACGCAGTCAATAAATACAATCACTTCTATACTTCACTTAAGCGCCCTGAACTTGCGCAATGGCGTCACCGGATTGTAAACCCCACCCAACTCAACTCTGCGCCTGCGCAGCGCGCGTGCGTACTACCCCTGCTGCCGCCGCGCCCTTCTCCGGGCGTCTGGATTCCCTTCCTCGCGGCCCCGCCCAGGCGGCTGCCCGTGACCTGCCTGGGCGCAGGGAGCGGAAAGTCGGAAAGGGTGAGGGGAGTCCAGTTCGTCATGGGGCTGTTTGGAAAAACCCAGGAGAAGCCTCCCAAAGAGCTGGTAAGGGCGGACGACCGGGGAGCCTGCGCGCTGGGCAGCGGAGCTGGGGACGAGGCGGCCGCGCTCGCAGGCTGGCCCCTATTTCCGGGGCCTTCCACTCGGTCGAGGGGCCGAGGGAAGAGTTGAGGAGCGGGCTGTGAGGAAGAGCGCGCGTTCGCTGCTCGGCGCCCGACCAGGGTGCGAAGGGCCAGTTTCGGAACGCCTCGGCCTCGCCCCCGGGCGCTGAGGCGAGACGCAGCCGGGCCCTGAGAAACCACTCCCCCCTGTGCGCGGTGGTACGGGCCGCCCGGAACCTTTCTCACGCACAGGCCCCGCCCCCGTACACCGGGGACCACCCGGAGGACCTGCCCCGGACCGGAAGGTTGTGTACGTTGAACCGGGTCAGGAACCCTAGAAGGTGCAGGCAGGCGCCTGCAGTGTAGGTGCTTCGTTCACCTCTAGGTACAGGGAAGACCGACTTGTGTTTGTTTCAGAGGCGCAGTAGTTCTGCCGGGACCCTACCCATAAGAATGCTGCCGAAAATAGTTCTGGACCTGCTCAGAACTCTTAGGTCTGCCTATAAATTGAGTTATTCTGAGAATCAGCCTATGTTTGAGTCCTACTTTTCAGACATCTTGGCACCGTGACCTCGAGAAACTTGTCCGAGCCTGTCGAATAGTGCTCCTGCAATAACCGACCATTAAAAGATGTGAAGTTTGAGCTGGTAGTGGTAGTGAAAGCTAAGTACATACCCAGCCTTGTTACTCACACACCAGCAGCAGCAGCAATAGCAGCACCCGAGCATGTTAGACTTGTGGGGTCCCATTACAGACCTACTGAATCAGAGTTTGAATCCTGACTACCCCCAGTGGTTAGGATATGCCCTGATGTTTGAGAAGCATAGTTTCTCCAGCACTCAAAACTTGTCCCTCACGTCCTTCAGTAGTTGACTTTACCTGTTCAGGTACGGAAGGCTCATTCATCAGCTCTGCCATTTTTCTGGTGCGTGTTCTGTTTCTTAAATGTTACTCTACTGGAACAGAAACTGATATCGCGTTCTTAGCAATTACATTTATCATTTAAAATAACGAAAATGTTATATAAGTAACGCACATCAGGCATAAATTTAAATAGTCATGATACTGTTTTCTTTAGACTCTATCTTAGTTGATGGATGACAAAGCTAAGTCCACACCCTAGTAATTTGTATACTCAAGAAGAGTATATTCAATTTACAAATTCTGCAAAGTAGGCAGCTACATAATGTTCTAAGGTGAAACTGAGTGCTCATCTAGTTTAAGCTCCACAAATTCAATTTTATACCGCTGAGAAAAATGTAACAGGTGAGTGCTCTTAATAAAAGGTTTTAAGAGGTGCAGTGGGGCATGCTCGTAGTTCAGCTACTTGGATGGCTGGGGATGGAATATTCCTGAAGGCAAGAGTTTGAGGCCAGACTGGGCAGTTACTCAGAAAGCAAAGATTTTAGGGAAAAGTCTGGGTGTTGTAGAGTTCCTGAGATAATACCGTGCATTTTTAAAAAATGTAATCCCTGCATTAAAAAAATAACATTGTAAATATAAAGGCCATCGAGTTGGTTGGTCTTCATTTTGCATGGTCTGTGTCTTGTGCTTAGCTTTTTTTCTCCGTGTCATTTTTTTATGAAATGGAAGTTGGATGTAAACTTAATGAGATCCAAGTTAAACAATTTTAGCAAGAATGCCTCCCAAGGAAGCTGTGAACTTCATACTAAATGATGTTAAAAATAAGTTCGGGGTGGAAACCAAAGTGACCACCACTTCAGCTGAAGTTTGCTGTGTCTGGACAAGGCAAACCTCATTCTTATCCTGGTGTGCTCGGAGGATGGAACCCACAGAGACAAGAAGTGCTTTGTTTTTATTCTAACTCGGGTGGTCACTGTGTCTTTTTCCACACTGCCTGGGGGCTGACTCACAGTCTTAGGCAGTTGGCTAGACCGGAAAGAATTGACTTACAGGAAATGAAGGAAGAAGGGGAAAGGGGTCCCTGCTCCAGCTAATTCCTGGAATGCAGCGGGAGGCCTTTGTGTAAACAAAGATTTTACCTGCTCTGTGTGGGGTTGAAACATTTGTATAAAAGACTTAAAAGGTGGGGAAGATGAAAAGATTTGAATTCCATGTTGTAGACACAAGTTTTATAAGTATATGATAGAAAAGACTGATTTTCTATTTGTAGCATGTTACACCAGAAGGCATATGATGAATAGTCTCATTTGATTGGTTTGTAAACAGGGTCATACTGTGTGCTCTGGATGGTTTTTGTCAACTTCACACAAACCTAGACATAACTGGGTGGGGGGAATTGCAATTGGGGAATTGCCTATAGGCAAGTCTGTGTGATATTGTCTTGATTAATGATGGATGTGGGAGGGCCTAGCTCTCTGGGCTGTACCACCCGTGGGAGGTGGTCCTGGATGGTCCTCCATGGCCTCTGTTTTAAGTTCCTTCCTCCAGGTTCCTTGACTTTTCTTCGTGATGCACTACAACTGTAAGCTGAAATGTACCCTTTCCTCCCCAAGTTGCTTTTGGTCATGATGTTTATCACAGTAATAGAAATCCAAACTAAGACATCATGTAACCCAGGCTAGTGATCCTTCTAAATACTGGTATTACAGGTGTGTACCACTGTGCTTGGCTGCTAGTAACTTTAGCCACCTGCCTCAGGTCATGTCAGCCAGATAACCTGTGTTATAGTTTTCCTTTTGTTGCTAGTCAATAAAAGTTTGTGGGAGGCTGTACTTGGATTGAGCATCCGAATTGGACCCATTAGAGTCTACCAAACCAATATAATTTAATCACGGTTTGATTAGTTGTAAGAAATGCTGCAGCCAGTTAATTAACAACTGCTTAGTCACTTTTTTTTTTGGCTTTGTGGGGAATAAAATTATATTGAAGTACATACACACACACACACACACACACACACACACACACACACACGTGTGTGTGTGTGTGTGTGTGTGTGTGTGTGTGTGTGTGTGTGCATGTGTATATGTATCTTTGTTCAGTTCCCACTCCTCACATGGTAGCTCATAACCATCCCTAACTCCAGGTCCAGGGGATCTGATTCCCTCGTCTAAACTCCTTGGTAACCAGGGATACATGTGGTACACAGACATGTAGGCAAAACACCCATACATATAAATATATCTGATTTTTTTCGATAGTTAAATTAATGGTTTTTATTTATTTTTGGTATGTTTATAAGTATCTTCTTCCCATTTGTGATAATTTTCTTTAATTTACAGATTTAGCAAAATAAAAATTTGTAGTTTCGGTTTAAATAAAAATGTCAGCCCTTTCCTTTCTGATTATTGCTTGTGTCTTTTTTTTTTTTTTTTTTTTTTTTTTTTTTTTTTTTTTTTTTTTTAAAGATTTATTTATTTATTATGTATACAGCATGTATCCCTGCAGGCCAGAAGAGGGCAGCAGATCTCATTACAGATGGTTGTGAGCCACCATGTGGGTTCTGGGAATTGAACTCAGGACCTCTGGAAGAGTAGACAGTGCTCTTAACCTCTGAGCCATCTCTCCAGCCCCGCTTGTGTCTTTTAAAACTTAATTTTAAAGATTTACTTTATTTTTTAAGTTAGTTGTGTGTAGGGTGTGACTGTGGGTGAATACATGTGAGTCAGGTGCCTGATGCATTAGGTCTCCTAGAGCTGGAGGGAGTTACATGGGTGCTGGGAATCCTAGGGTCCTAACTACTAGACCAGCTCTCCAGCCCCGTTTCTTGTGTTTTAAGGAATCCTTCCCTAACTTGACATCATGAATGTATTTTCCTCCTCCTATAGACCTGGGCCTTGAAGAGAGGGCTTCATGGTGTGTAATAGGCAAGACTTCTACCACTGAACTGCATCTCCAGCCTTCTAATTATGTCTACTGTAACAATTTTTCATTTCATATTTGTGTTTTCTTTCTTTTTTCTTTAAAGATTTGTTTATTTTATGAGGGCTCTGTGTCTGCATGTATGCAGTGGGCATCAGATCCCTTTACAGGTGGTTGTGAGATGTCACATGGGAATTGAACTCAGGTCCTCTGGAAGAGCAGCCAGTGCTCTTAACCACTGAGCCATCTCTCCAGCCCTCATACTTGTGTTTTCAGTCCACCAGAGTTAACTTGGTGGAACAGGAATTTGGACAGTTGGTTTCTGTGTGCCGTTTGTCTCAGCACTGGTTGTAGGCGATGTCTTCTTGCTGGCTTCAGTTCCCTTCGCCTAGTTTGTGTCTGGGATATAATAGACTTAGTGAATGAATGTGAATAAAGCACTTACCTGATCGCCTGAAACTTTCTGTAGGTTCCTTATGATTTTCACAGTACAGTTTAACTTACTAGTTGATTTTAAAAAATTTATTGCTGCATTCCTTATGTTCTCTTTTACTTATTTAAATACTTTTGATTTGTTAGTAAAATACTATTGAAACTAAGTAAATACTTGTTGAATTTCTTTTTATCTGTTTTGAGTTTTTTCTACTGTATCTGTACAGTCGTGAGACTTGTTTGATACATTTTACTGAGCTCCTGGTCTTGGACTATGTTTCTTAACCCTAAAAGAATATTAGAATCATCTGGATACATGTAAAATGCCAAGTGTCAGTGGGCTGCCTCAGTTCAGTTAAATTGGTATTTTTTATTTATACACAAATATTCACAATAGCCAAAGGTAACAGCAAACTCAGATGGTCATCAGTAGATGAAGAGGGAAGAAACAAGGGTGTAGTGGGTACATAAAATGGGATGAAAGTGAGACATAAAAAAGATTGACATACGCATATATGCCACAACATGGGTGAACCTTGAAATGAAAAGAAAGATCTGGAACCAGAGGTCACACATTGTATGAATACTTTTATGTGAAATATTCAGAATAACCAATTCTGTAAAAACAAAGCAAATTATTGTTTGCCAAGGAATTGGTGAATGGGAAGATAAAGGGTTATTTAAGGTGCGTACGTGTTCCAAGGTGATGAAAAAGATTTAGGGGTTGATGGCAAGTTGCACTAAATTTCACCACCAGTTATATACTTGAATCTGATTAATTGCGTATTATATGAATTTCACTTAAAATGTACATAAACCTAACCTGATTAATAGTTTTAAAATTGTGTTAAGCTTACAGTTTTATTTATGTTTTTAGTGTGTGTGTGTGTAGTGTGTAGATGCCACTCCTGTGCATATTGCAGAAGAGAGTGTCAGGTGTCTTGTTTTGTCACTTTTCTGCCTGGAGACTAAACCTAAAAGCTCATTAAACCTGAAGCCCACCATTTTGGCCAGGTTGGCTTGGCCAGTGAACTCCAGGGCCCACTGGTCTCTGTCCCAGCATGGGGTTGTAAGCACTCATGGTCATTCCTGCCTTGGCCAGTGAACTCCAGGCCCACTAGTCTCTGTCCCAGCATTGGGGTTGTGAGCACTCATGGTCATGCCTGGCTTGGCCAGTGAACTCCAGGCCCACTGGTCTCTGTCCCAGCATTGGGGTTGTGAGCACTCATGGTCATGCCTGGCTTGGCCAGTGAACTCCAGGCCCACTAGTCTCTGTCCCAGCATTGGGGTTGTGAGCACTCATGGTCATGCCTGCCTTGGCCAGTGAACTCCAGGCCCACTAGTCTCTGTCCCAGCATTGGGGTTGTGAGCACTCATGGTCATGCCTGGCTTGGCCAGTGAACTCCAGGCCCACTGGTCTCTGTCCCAGCATTGGGGTTGTGAGCACTCATGGTCATGCCTGGCTTGGCCAGTGAACTCCAGGCCCACTAGTCTCTGTCCCAGCATTGGGGTTGTGAGCACTCATGGTCATGCCTGGTTTGGCCAGTGAACTCCAGGCCCACTAGTCTCTGTCCCAGCATTGGGGTTGTGAGCACTCATGGTCATGCCTGGCTTGGCCAGTGAACTCCAGGCCCACTGGTCTCTGTCCCAGCATTGGGGTTGTGAGCACTCATGGTCATGCCTGGCTTGGCCAGTGAACTCCAGGCCCACTGGTCTCTGTCCCAGCATTGGGGTTGTGAGCACTCATGGTCATGCCTGGCTCTAAAGTGCTGACACGGTTCTTTCAATGGCGTCATTGCTGTTGTAAATATTTTGGAGATTTTGGTAAGTAATTATTAAATGTTAAGCTTGAAATTTAATGGAAATAATTCATGTATCTGTGGATGAATGTAATGGTTCAGTGTTCTATTCCTCTAGAATTAATATAGAATTTTTTTTATTAGACTTAAGTACTGAAAAACTTTTGAGTAAGTGGCTCATAATGGAAGGGCATTGAAGGAGCAGTGTCACTCAATTCTCTGAGTATATGTGCTCAAAAGCACACAACAGTTTAATAGAACTTAATTTTTAATTTACTTTTAAATAAAATAACTTTTAATGATCCATAAGCTGACACCTCAGATTTTTCCTCAGTATTTTTGAAAAAAATTGAAGAATTGGAACAGTTCACTTTCATGAGAATGTGCTAGTTATTAGAGTTACCTACACTACTATCTCTAGTTGGCCACATTTAGTGCCTCAGAGGTTATAACCTGATAGGAAGAAAAATAACACATAAAAAGATGAGTTCTTGGGGCTTGAGAGATGGCTCAGTGGTTAAGAGCACTGAACTGGATGCTCTTCCAGAGGACCCGGGTTCAATTCCCAGCACCCACATGGCAGCTCACAACTGTCTGTAACTCCAGTTTCAGGGGACCCGACACCCATGGCAAAACATGAATGCATATAAAATAAAAATAAATTTTAAAAAATGAGTTCTCAGTACACAGATAGAGTAGTTTATAAAATAATTATGTGTAAAAGATGAAAATCTTCAGCTGTCCTAAGACTGTCTTTGCCTATGCACCTTGTGAAAAACCCTTGTATACCGCAGAGTCGTCTGTAAAGTGTCCTTCTTCCCTGCCAGCCTTTGAACAAGTTTCCAGTGTCTGCGTACTGTTAATAAGAGTTGGTCCCTAAAACCAAAATGGACCTAAAGGTCTTCTTCAAAATTGAAAACCAAAAAAAAAAAAAACAAAAAAATTGTATTTAAACTCAATGTAGAATTCCTAAAAATGTGCAAAATTTGCTCGGAGTGTTTGCTTCTCTGATAATTGCCTATCTCAAATTTTCCCCAGGTCAATGAATGGTCATTGAAGATCAGGAAGGAAATGAGAGTTGTTGACAGGCAAATAAGAGGTAAGTTGCTACTTTATGTTTCCTTTTTATACTCCAATGCTGCTTTTCATTTCAGCACATAAAAGTAAGCTTATGTGTACATTATAAGACACAGTTTATTCCCATACTGATTCTGTGTATTCTCATTATTTTGTTTCCTAATTCTATATTAGTATAGAAAGGGTAATGATTGAAATAGACTATATTGTAAGAGCAAAAGAAAGCTCTTGGTGTTTGTAAACAAAAGTCTTTTATGAGTTTTAATTAAATAAATTAGGCATAAGACGACAATGCAATTTCATTATCTCTGCTCTGCCTGTTTCAACATAACTTTAAATTGGGAACAATACATTTCTAAATAAAAGTTACTTTTTTTAGTACCATTTGAAATTAAAGTGAATGGCCAAGAAATGGTAATGCTTAAGTTTTTTTTTAAGTTTTATATATTTTGACAATTTCATACATATAAGCAATGAGTATTGATTATACCCACCCTCAGATCCCCCTCCCATCCCCCTCAGGCAGTCCATGTCATCTTCCCCCACTTCATATTCATATCTACACTTCCACACCCATTGTAATCCATGGAGTCTAGTTAGTACTGTCTTTTGGTATGCTGACTGACTTTGTTGGCTTGACCTTGTGTAGGTCTGTGTAGGCATCCACAGCTGTAGTGTGTAGATGTAACAGTCTTTTTTAAGTAAGAAACACAGAGCCAAATGCAGAATTAAAAGCCCAAGAGGTCAGAGCAATAGCTAAGAGTTAAAAACTCTTTCTTACCCTTCACTGCCGCTGCTGTCCTTCCCCTCAACAAGAGACCTACTTCCAGTGTATCTGTCTTTTTATTGACTTTCTGTTCTGCCTTCTCATTGGTTGTAAACCCAATCACATGACCTCATCACTGCCTGTCTTTATAGACCTCCAGGTCTTCTATGGTTGGTATTGAGATTAAAGGCGTGTGTCTCCATGCTGGCTGTATCCTTGAACACACAGAGATCCGCATAGCTTTGCCTCCCAAGTGCTGGGATTAAAGGCGTGCGCCGCCACCACCGCCTGGCTTCTGCTATGGCTTGCTATTAGCTCTGACCCCCAGGAAACTTTATTTATTAACATACAAATAAAATCACATTTCAGTACAAATAAAATATCACCATAGTAGTGAGTTTATGCGTGCTATGGCCATGTCAAGTCCAGAAGACAACATTTTACAGTACTCCTCCATATGCTTACATTCTTTCCACCCCTTCTGAGATGTTCCCTGAGCTTTGGATGGGATGTTGATATAGCTGTCCCATTTAGGGCTGAACACTTGAAGTCATTTATTCTCAGCACTTTCACTAGTTTTGAGTCCCAAGTTATAAGGCCAAGGTAGAGGGCAGCACTAATCTCTCAACATGATCATTTAGCAAGCTGTCAGTAGGAGGTTACACTGTAGGGCCTAGACATCCTAAGTCATAGACCTTTGACCAGGTTTAAAGTACTAAATAAGAATTTCCTCCTGTGGATCAGATGTCCAGTCCAACCCGAAAGCTACTGGTTGCCCCAGTATCCTTCATGCATTGTTAAAGTAGTGACTATCTCTGGCCTGGCACGTCAGTATTGGAGTATGCAGGGTTTGCTGCTAGAAAAGGACATTGAGGACTTCCTTTGCCCCACAATGCCTGCATAGCACTTTCTAGCACTTCAAGTTAGCCAGTAGGGAGGAAGCTTTCAGGTCAGTTCCAGCCTGACTCCTCTGTGTTTTGTAACCAGAATATGTCATGCGTCAGCAGTAAGAGCTTACCATCTAGTTCTGGCAGGCGGCCAGAAGTTAGCCGGTGTTGTTTTTAGTGCTTCTGGGGTCTTCCAGTTACCACAGGCAAGCCTAGCACTGAAATTTTTATTTACTAATCCATGTCTTCTGGGAGAAGTATTATTCATCCATGCCTGCTATATACATTTAAATGCCTTAAAAAATTTTGTTGTTGGTGCTGGAGAGATGGCTCAGCGGTTAAGAGCACTCACTGCCTGCTCTTCCAGAGGTCCTGAGTTCAATTCCCAGCAACCACATGGTGGCTCACAACCATCTGTAATGAGATCTGGTGCCCTCTTCTGGCCTGCAGACAGAACACTGTATACATAATAAATAAATTTAAAAAAAATTGTTGTTGTTGTTGTTGTTTTTTAAGACAGGGTTTTTATAGAGCCCTACCTGGCCTCAGACTCACAGATCACCTGTCTCTGCCTTCCAAGTGCTGGGATCAAAGGCCTGCCTCAGCCCTGGGTAGTAGTGGATTTCCCTAAGGGTTTTTATAGCCTTAGTTTTGGCTAATCCCTCCCCCTCCTGCTCTATCCTTTCTTAATATTCCCTTGCCTCTACTCTTATATCATAGGGGTTCTATTATCCTCTTCCTCCTTAAAGGATTTTTTTAAAACACCTTCATGAATAGAAAAGATTAAAACCAGGCAAGTGTCCCAGTATTACAGTATCACAGCTTTAAAAAAGAATTAGAGATGAGAATTCTATTTAGCTGTGGTGATCCATTTTAGTCTTACACTTCTACTTCAATAGTCAATGAAAGTTTGAACAAGATAGCTATGAACCAACCGCTTTCCACCTGGACAGATGACTGTCTATTGAGAAAAGAAACAGAAAGAGAACCCTCAGAGTCCTGTCTTTCTGTCTAGAGATACTTTCTTGAATGGGGTGTATGGGAGGGATTCCAGAAAGAGGATGGTGGTCTCACTGAGCTGAAGACTTGGAGATGGAGTGAACGAGGCTAAAATATGTTGTTCAGACTAATAGAGAAAAGGAATATAACCAGGGAGAGAACTCCAGATAGCTCCTTGGGATCTGAGTGTGTGGCTGAACACTGATCTGTGCTTATTTAGAGTGATATTTGCAGAGGCTGGACAAAGAATGATTAATGGGAACAGAACAACTACCAGGAAGTTTGAAGCTGAGCAATTCCCACAGCTAACAAAGGGTTGGGAGCAAAGACAGTAAAGAGACCTTGTGAAAATCTGGGATACTCAGTATCGACTGGAGAAGGGCCACGTTTAGTATTAAGGTAAATGTAAGTGCACCATATGAGGAAAACTTATGAGCAGGGCTTGAAGTTGATCTGCAAGTGACTTAGCTGCCAGTCAAAATAAAACTTAATACTCTTTGAAGAACAGTGAGGCATTCTCTATGACAAGAATCCAGTGAAAAGGCCACTGCAGGGAAGCAGAAAAATGACCCACATGGGTAAAATAAATAAAGTAGACAATAAAAATAGACAAAAAAGCAATTAAGCAAGAAAGGATAGGATATATGCTGAAGAATTTAAAACAAAGCCATAAACAAAATGACCTAAATAGAAGATGCAGAAAAGAAAATGTAACTCTTAAGATAAAGGAAAACTTACTAAATTGACACAACAGCAGATTAGACACTATAAAAAGGAAGATCAGCCGGGCGGTGGTGGCGCACGCCTTTAATCCCAGCACTCGGGAGGCAGAGCCAGGCGGATCTCTGAGTTCGAGGCCAGCCTGGGCTACCAAGTGAGTTCCAGGAAAGGCGCAAAGCTACACAGAGAAACCCTGTCTCGAAAAAACAAAAAAAAAAACAAAAGGAAGATCAAAGAAATTCAAGATAACACGAGCTATCCAAACTCTGCTACAAAAAAACCAAACCAACAGAGCTACTGTGACCTGTGTCTATGTAGTGAGTTCCAGAACAGCCAGGGCTATGTAGAGAGGCCCTGTCTCAAACAGCAACACCAAAAATAAAAATAAGTACCCCATACAATGGGAGAAAATATTTGTAAATCATATATATATCTCCTAAAGTATACAGAGAATTCCTAAAACTCAAAACTGTTCAGAAATAGGGAAAGTCCTTGAAGAGACATTTCTCCAAGGAGACTATATACCACTGAGAAACCACTTAAGATCATTAGTCATTAAGGAACTGTAAGGCACTGGGCAGTGGTGGTGCACGCCTTTAATCCCGGCACTTGGGAGGCAGAAGCAGGTGGATCTCTGAGTTCAAGACCAGCCTGGTCTACAGAGCGAGATCTAGGACAGGCCCCAAAACTACACAGAGAAACCCTGTCTCGAAAAACCAAAACAAAACCAAAAAAAAGGAACTGTAAGGCAACCACAATGAGATATGTACTACTGCATACCTAATAGGTAACTGTTCTAAAAAAACAAAACCAAACCAGAAAACAGCAAGTGTTGGCAAGGATTTGGTGAAATTAGAACTCTGATATGCCGTTAATAGGAAAATAAAACAGTGCAACCACTTTGGAAAATACAGAGTAGGTCCTGAGGAAATTAAAAATAGGATTATCAGGTCTGGCATGGTGGCACCTTTAATCCAAGCACTTGGGATGTACAGGAGTTTGAGACCAGTCTACATAGAGAGTTCAGGATAGATAGCCAGGGTTACATAGAGACCCTGTGCCCACCCCCCACCCCTCAACCCCCACCTCCCAAAAAAAGAATTGCCATATGGCCCAACAATTCTTCTTTTGAGTATATACACAAACAACTGAAGGCCAGATCTTGAAGAGATATTTATAAATAAATATCTCTGACAGAATTAGTCATACTAGCTGAAGTTTTTATAAGATTTTTAAAAAAAATACGCATGTTACATAGCAGAAAATATTTACATGCTATATTGTGGATAAAAAGAGAATATATGCTAAGTAAAATCAGAAAAGTACTAATGTTGCTCTATTCCACATTCACAAGGTAGCTAAAAACAATCACTTTATAAGATGGTAGAATGCTGCTTGCCAGGACTAGGAAGAGAGGAGAGTGTGGTTTCTGGTTAACAGATGTGTGTCCTGAGAATGGAAGGTACTGATGGTTATACAGCCATGTGAATGTCCTTATACTATTTTGTTGAGAGCTGGACCGATGGGCTCAGGCTTTCCCAGAGGCCCTCATAGTATGGAAAAGGAACACAGCCCCTTCTCAAAGCCAGGAACATGTGTGGCTGAACCAATCATAGCCTGGGGCCAGGGCCTTGGGAGCTTTTTCCTGAGGCCTTGATGTATAGAGAAGGAACAGAGCTACTTCTCTAAAACCAGGAAGTGGCAGAGCTGGTAATGGCTTGGGACTAGGACCTTGGGGGAGCTTGGTTTCAGATCCTGAGAAACCAATTCTTTCCACTGCAAGGGACTATTGTTATCATTCCCAAGGCCATGTGTGCTCTGTCTGTAATGTTCTTGAGATACCCCATGTTCCCTTGGTGTAACATTAATTAGCTTCTTGCGGACGTCCCACTGTATGATAGTTTCTGCTGACTCTGTTTCATTTCTCCCTTAAAGTAGTATGTAAGTTGCTGTACTTTAAGCTTGCTTGGCTTAAGACATAGCTTGTACAAGACGTCCTAATCACAAACTTTATTATATTCTCTATCTTCTATCTTTATCTTCTGATCTCCTAGTCCTCTCTCTCAGGACCCTGTCACTGAAGAATGACCAGAGCATTATTTAATTGTACAATTGAGAATGGTTAAGATGGTAATAGTGTTACATCTGTTTTGCCACAGTTTTTAAAATCCAAAAGTTTTTACTCGTTATAAAGCATGTAATAGTACAGACTTGTCTAAACTCTAGTTGATGCTGATACAGTGCTCTAATGTGTTCAGATTTTCCTCACGTTACAGATTTTTTATAACAATTATTGCTCTAATACTTGTAGGAAAGCTGCATACTGATTGTCTGAATTAGCTCTGGGATGCATGTACAGTACATTCTAAAGCTCCTTAGTATAGATGGGTAACAAGCAATGTTAGAGCGGACTCACAAAAGGGTTTTAAGAAGTTTTCCAGGTACAATAGGATTATACTACTGTTTCTTGTCAAACTATGTTAGTCTTCTTCCAGGAAATAATAAATACCCATACATTATTTTTATTTCCTTTATATCCTGTGATAATTTTTTGTGTGTGTGTGTTTTTTTTTTTTATTTGTATTTTTATTTTGCAATACAGTTCAGTTCTACATATCAGCCACGGATTCCCTTGTTCTCCCCCCTCCGGCCCCCCTCACCTTCCCCCCAGCCCATCCCCCATTCCCACCTCCTCCAGGGCAAAGCCTCCCTCGTGGACTGAGATCAACCTGGTAGACTCAGTCCAGGTAGGTCCAGTCCCCTCTTCCCAGGCCGAGTCAAGCGATCCTGCATAGGCCCCAGGTTTCAAACAGCCAACTCATGCAATGAGCACAGGACCTGGTCCCACTGCCTGGATGCCTCCCAAACAGACCTGTGATAATTTTTTACTTAGAGACATTTAGATTATAATAAAAACAGTCTGAGTGCTACCAAGCCTGATTCCCCACCCTCCCCCTCCCCCCGGCCACGCTTGTGTGTGTGTGTGTGTGTGTGTGTGTGTGTGTGTGTGTGTGTGTGTTTGCATACATGTATGTGGGTGACTGAAGACTCCAAAAGAGGGTGTCAGATTCCTTAGAGCTGAACTTAGAGGCATTCTGAGCTCCCTGCTGTAGGTCCTGGGGTCTGTACTCTGGTTTTAAGGTTGAAAAGCAAGTACTTAATTGCAGAAACACCTTTCTAGCCCCTACCCATGGTTTTTGATGTTCTATTCTAAATTTAGATATCCAAAGAGAAGAAGAGAAAGTAAAACGGTCTGTGAAAGATGCAGCCAAGAAGGGCCAAAAGGATGTCTGTGTGGTTCTGGCCAAGGAGATGATCAGGTCAAGGAAGGCTGTGAGCAAGCTCTATGCATCCAAAGCACACATGAACTCTGTGCTCATGGGCATGAAGAACCAGCTTGGTAAGGCCCAGGTACCTGACATCTCCTAATAATGCTGCTGTCATTGTTACTGTTTACACTGGTTTCCTTGCGTAGGAAGAATAGGCTCAAGTCTGGTTTTTGCTAACTAGGGTACTGTACAAAGGTAAAATATAATTGATTTTTTTGCCAATGTTTTTGAAATAATGACAGACTCTCCACAGACGTCTTTGTTTAGAAGGTAGAATGTATTGAGTGTATGTGTTCAGCTGCAGTCTGTACTCCACCCGACACTTGAATGCACTTTATAAAGTGAACATGTGCTCTTGAGTATTCTGTTTAAGATACCATGGCTTCTCACTGCATGTGAGTAAAATTCAGACTCTCAGTTTGATCTTGGAGGTCCTGTGTGCTCTGACCTCATCTTTTCCTTGTCTCCTTTCTTCTCTCTATCCGTCTGTGCTGTTCTTTGTGTTCCTGGAACTGGACCAGCTTATTCTTGTCTTAGAACCTTTATATTTGGTGATCTCTCTGCAAGTACACACTGCCCCCATCTCTTGATGGTCCTTGTCCTACAGGTCTCAATTCAGATGAGGCACACAGTAAAGCCTTTTCTAAAGTGTCTCTCAACAGCACATCATGACAGTGTCTTTAATTTCTTTATTAATTCTCTTTTCTTCCAACAGTCCTGGCTCTTCTGAAACTTACTTTGTAGACCAGGCTGCCTCAAACTCAGAGATCCGCCTGCCTCTACCTCCCAAGTACTGAGATTAAAGGCATGTGCCACCAAGCCTGGCTTCCTTATAACTCTTCTAAGTATTCATTTCTAATGAAATTAACTTGTTTGGTTATTTTTAATTTTTTTTTTTTAACAATGCTAGGAATTGAACATAGAGCCTTGTACTGGCTAGGCAAGTGATATACCACTGAGCTGTATCTCCAGTTCTTTTTTTGTTTGTTTAAATTTTTTGAGTCTCAGTATGCAGCCCTAGATGGCCTGGAACTCACATAGATCCATTTACCTCTGCTTCCTGAGTGCTGGAATTGAAGGCGTGCGCCACATGCCCAGCATTCTCTTATTCTTTTTTTTTTTTTTTTTTTTTTTTTTTTCGTTTTTCGAGACAGGGTTTCTCTGTGTAGCTTTGCGCCTTTCCTGGGACTCGCTTGGTAGCCCAGGCTGGCCTCGAACTCACAGAGATCCACCTGGCTCTGCCTCTCGAGTGCTGGGATTAAAGGCGTGCGCCACCACCGCCCGGCCTCTTATTCTTAATATATACATTGTATCTTCCTATTAGAGCCAGAAACCTGTCTGTCTAACCCATATCTGTAGCTTAGAAAAGGGTGCCTGGTCATGCAATGTCTATGAAGAGCATACCCACAAGCATGCTCGGTGTTAGTGACTGTTGCTCTACGGTATGTAATTGGTTTTCATATATACTCTTAATATTAGACGTGTAGCAGAATCCTTTATTCATTAGTTCACCTTTTAGAGACTTTTATTATCTATTTTTAAAAGATTTATTTATTTAGCTTTCCTTTATGTATATGACTGCATCCATGGCTGTGTACCATGTGCGTGCAGTGACTGCAGAAGAAGGCATCAGATCCAGTGGAACTGGAATTTTATACAGTTGTTAGCTGCCATGTATGTTCTGAGAATCAAACCCAGGTCCTCTGGAATTGCAGCCAGTGCTCTTAACCACTGAGCCATATCTCCATCCCTTTTATTTTATTTTTTGGGGGTGTTTTTTTTTTTTTTTTTTTCCGAGATAGGGTTTCTCTGTGAAGCTTTGTGCCTTTCCTGGATCTTGCTCTGTAGACCAGGCTGGCCTTGAACTCACAGAGATCCGCCTGCCTCTGCCTCCTGAGTGCTGGGATTAAAGGTGTGCGCCACCACTGCCCGGCTTATTTTATTTTTATTTGTGTGTATTCATGTTTATGTATATGCACATACTTGTGGGTGCTGGCAAAGGCCAGAAGAGGGCATTGGAGCCCCTGGAGCTGGAGTTACAGATGGTTGTCAGTCAACTGATGTAGATGATGGGAACAGAGATCCTGTCCTCTGCAAGAGCAGCAGATGCTCTTAACCACTGAACATCTCTCCAGCTGTAGTTAGTAGTTTATTTTTTTCAACTAGTTTTCATATCTTTTTCCCCTTTTCTTTTCCTTCATTTCTCCTACCTCCCAGTTTTGATCTTAGAACTTCGAATCTCAGGAAGCCCTTCAGCACATGCAGACTACATGATATCTCAGTTTAGATCCTTATCTAGCAGGTGTCTGGGTCTAAGTAGTCTGTACTGACTCTGTTTCCAGGTGAGGCTTGCATAACTCATCCAGGTTCAGGCACCTTCACTGCCTATTTTCATTGTAATTACTTCTCATACACATTGGCTGCTTGTTTTTTAGGCATTTGTAAGAGTCTCAGCAATAGTGTGTTATTCCTGTATTAACTGAAGGTTGCAGTTGTGAATAGTACCTTTTGAATCTTGGTCTCTTCCTTGACTGGTTATGTCAGAACTCATTAGGCTTATTTGGAATGTGTCATTTTTGTTAGTGGTGGTTGTTTTTGAGACAGAGTCTTATTGTATACTTAGCTTGGTCTGGAACTCCTGATTTTCCTGCCTCACCCTCCTTGACTGTCTTCCTTTTGTTTCAGTTCAGTACATTTGCTTCTGATTTTCAAGGGTATTTTTGCCTGTTGTGCACATGAAGTGTTGTCATCCTAGAAATTCTAATACTTGGCAGCTAACAGACTCCCATACTTAGAAATAATGGATGAAACTTTTTACTTTAAATTTTGACTCAGAAAATTATATTCTAAATTTGAATCTGCTTTAGGAATCTACACTTTATGTTTTACCAAACTAATTTCTGAGTAGATCAAACATTGAAGATAAAAAATAAATTCACAAAAGCACTAGAAGGAAATATGTTTAAAATGTAAGAAGCTGAAATGGAAAAATCTTTTCAGAGTGAAATATAAAATCTTATAAAGGAAAAGTCTGATAAATGAAGCATAAAACATTTAAAGTTTCTGAACAAGTTCAGAAGTATTCCCCACAAAGCCAAAAGAAAAAGTGACTAAGCAAAAAGCTGCTAAGAATTCAAACTATGCTATTTCATTACAGGGTCTCATGTAGCCAAAGCTGGCCTTGAACTCCTTATGGAGAAGATGACTTTGTACCTCTGTTCTTCCTGTTTCTACTTCCTCTTAAGTACTAGGGTCACAAAAATCTATGTCTGTGGGCCTGGTTTTATGATGCTGGGAGACTGAACTCAGAGTTTCGTGCAACCTCAGCAAGCACCGTACCCATTGGGCCACATCCCTAGCCCCAGATGTACTTTGAAATGAGATAATCACATTCTGTCAAAGGCTCTCAGCATAAAGGTGCTTGCTGCCAAACCTAACAACCCAAGTTTGATCCCTAGGACCTGCATGGTGAATGAAACAACTGACTCCTACAAATTATCCTCCAGCGTGTACACACACACACACACACACACCATGCATGGCATGCCTGCCCCCCTCCCCAGTAAATATTTTTTAAAAAGGTATAGCAACCTAAAGTAGACTCGTGCTGATCATGATGAAATCGACAGAAATGTCTTGGAGTTTGCATTTGCTCATTTCGATATACTTACTAATTGATTCAAATTTTTTGAAAGTCATTTTGGGTACATCAGAATTTAAATATATACCTCCTTTCATAGCAAAACATGCTCTCAAGCATGAAAGTATTTGTTTATAAGAATTGTTAGTTGGACATGTTAGTACAATGCCTATAATCTCAGTACTTGGGAGGTAGAAACAAGTCAGTGAATTCAAGGCCAGCCATTTTCTTTCTTTCTGTTTGTTTTGTTTTGTTTATTTTAAGACAGGGTTTCACAATGTAGCTCTGCCTATCGTAGAACTCACTATGTAGACTAGGCTTGCCTCGAACTCACAGAGATCTGCCTGCCTCTGCCTCCCAAGTGCTGGGATCAAATGCATTTGCCACCACTGCCAGCAAGGCCAGTCATTTTCTTCTGGCAGATTTTCCAAAGGAGTCAAATAATATATTCTTTTTCTTGTGATTTTCCTTTGCGAATTAACAAATTTTAAATCATCTTTCATTATTTTTTATAAACTTGACATATGTGTCTATAGGTCATGTTATAATCATTTGCTTTCATGAGATTTTGACTTCCTTATTTGCATTCTGACTTGGTGCCAAATTTAATCATGGCAGTGTAATGTGAAAAGCAAAGTCCCAGCCAGACATGATAGTGCACACCTTTAATCCCTGCACTTCAGAGGCAGAGGCAGGTGGATCTCAGTTGCAGTTGGAGGCCACTTGGTCTATATAGCCAGTTCCAGGACAACCAAGGCTACATAGTGAGACCGTATTTCAAAATAAGAACAATTTAAAAAAAGTGGAGTCAAGGGGCTGGAGAACTGTTCTTTCAGAAGTCCTGAGTTCAATTCCCAGCAACCACATGGTGGCTCACAACCATCTGTAATGAGATCTGGTGCCCTCTTCTGGCCTGCAGACATACATGCTGTATACATAATAAATAAATAAATCTTAAAAAAGAAAAGAGTGGAGTCTAATCTACTGTATAAATGTTCTTGCCAAGTAAGTTCCATTGAATGCAGTAATTTTCAGTAATCTTAATAGAGAAAAAGTGTCGTCAAACATGCAAGACCTTGTACAGACACATGGTTTTCCAACAGTATCACCTACCTGTAAAATAATAGTTTCAGTGAAGCATCACATGAAATTTAATGTGAATTTGTTTGATTTTGAACTTTCTTGATGTTTCATTTGTTTTGCATTTGATAACTGTACATATTTGTAAATATAAGAAAAATTTATCCAATTAGTAAAATATAGCTATTTAAAGCCAACAATGAAAAGACATTGCTAGTAGGGGAATTGATAGCATTTTTTTCTTTCTTCAGTGAGAGATTGAGTTGATAAATTATGGCATATTCAAGCTTGACGTAGCTCTCTGCCAACAGGAGGATGCTGGGGATGCCATCATAAGAAAGCAAGACTGGC